GAATGTGGAAACTGTAATGTGTGAATGGGTCGTGAATCAGATTAGCTAGGTATAAGATAGATAGGGACGACCAGCCTCAACCCCTCCCCATTTTGGCCTTGTGCCCTAATTGTATTTTAAATACAATAAATATACAGTCGCATAGATTGTTCAAATGTCGAACTCTCTGCTTCGGCAGAGAGGAACCCGGACGAGGCTTTGCCGCTGGGCAAAGTTTCGTCCGGGGAGGTAGACAGACCCTGAACCCGTTTAGGCGGGTTCAAATGGAATATTTTGGCCGAGCCTACGGGCTCGGAGAACACACGGTAAACTCGGCCTTGTGCCACATACATCCCCCGTGGGTGGGGGGCTGTTAAATATAACAGTCGAACAGATCTGTTCGCACTAGTCAAACTCTCTGTCTCCGGGCAGAGAGGATCCCCAGGCGAGGCTATGTCGAAGGGCAGAGTCTCGTCTCGGGAAACAGCTATCCGACCCCGTTTTATACGTGGTCTATGGGGAATTTTGACCGTGCCTACGGGCTCGGATTACCCCATATTAAACTCGGCCTTGTGTCACATCCTACCTTGTGGAGAGGCTGGTAAATATAACAGTCGAATAGATTGAACGATGGGTCAACCGACACACACTCACTCGTGGGTTAATACTCTTCTGTTGTACTTACTGTTAATATATGATATATCTGCAACACTTGTTTTTTTATTTCTTTAACCATTTACTTGGTCGCAACAGTTGTCTTTAATATCAATCTTCTGAAATGGAAAAGTAGCCTCAATCTATGCGTCGCAGATCTCGGAAATTATTTCAGAACTCACAACTTAAGCAAAAGCTACTAATGAACTGTTTAGTCAATTCCATTATCACTACGTTTCCTGCAATGACGTGCAGGGATTTGGTAATACCCGAAGCCAACTCCTTGACTGTATGCCCCTAAGACACAAGTAGGCAGGGGCCTACTACGGTCTCGCTTATCAAAAACAGATTCCAATTCACACCAGCTTGTGGAATTGTAGAGTGCTTGCACAACGGATTTAACAGAGACAATTTCAAATTTCAAAAACTAAATTTTTATTTCACTCTTTGATTGGAAGCCCTTCCAATATAGATGCCCAGACCGTCGCAATCTGCCCCCACCCTTTCTGCATGCTACTGGTTTATGTTGAAGTTTTGTTTTGAACAAGAATGTCTCGTCCCTGTTTCGATGTTTATCATGAGATTGTTTTAATTCCTGCTCTGCTGGGAACTACATACAGCTACCCATGAGCAAACACTAGGGTTGGTAAATAGAGACCAACATAGGATTATGAGTTGTTAACAGAAATTCACAGAACGTGACACGATAGATATAAATAAATAAATAAAAGTACAATGGTAATTATTATATAGTGTTGATTATAAATTGCTTCTCTGTCCGGCGTAAAATCAATCATGAGTCATCAGTTGGTCCCAAATTAGAATGGTGTAGCATTTTTACTACATCCTTTGAGTATGAAGATGAGGTAGCGTTTTACTACATACTTTGAGTAGTTTAATTTCTTCTGATCCTTGAACACGTCAACCAGCAATAACAACAGGATGTCGTTGAGGTTTGGCTCTTGATACAATATAGTTATACCATTCACTCTATGATCGAGATACAGGCATTATTGATAAATTTTCTATGTGTCTCTGAATGTATCAGTTAAAATATCCTATTATTATAACGCTTGAGCATTCTTAGCATCAATGTGTGAACTAAGCAACTTTCACTCCAATGCTGAATTTTCTTTTACATTAAATAGATTACTTAGCAAGCTACCACAAATAGCAGTTGGCATTTCAAATAAGTACACAGTTCAAAGACTTTACCTTTGAATGCGAGAGAAGTGCGTCAAGATGACATAGCCCTTTGGTTAGGCATCAGTTAATTTATTAGTCACTTGCATGGATGATCATGTATAGAGTCACCAATTCCTGTGGAGTAAATAAAAATATTAGACAGGGAATAAAACTAAAGTCACCCTGAAGGAATTAGTGCATACGCTAGGCTTTCCTTAGTAGGCTTTCCTTAGTTGAAATAAATAAAATATGGGATTCGTTAATAAATAAAGAGAAATTATATCAAGGTTTTAGCAGCAGTAAGGAAAGGGAAGCTCCGATGAATGAAGTCAAGCATAACAAGAAGCAGCAGCAGACAGGTAAGGTTTAAGGCTCCAAGTTTTAGATTCACTGGATTAAAGCGTCGGTTTGAAAATTTTGTGACATAGTAATTGTAAGTTGAATCCTTAATATTTGACTCAGTGGAAATAGGGCGAGTAATAACTGATCCGTTTTAAATGCAGCGGAGTGATTAGTACATTTGTCCCGAATCGACAAGCGCCTAAAATAGGCCAGAGGGCACAACGGTTGGAACGTTATGATAATACCAACAAAGATGAAGATAATAGTAATTATAATGTAAATAGTTTCTTGCTTGAAAAAAGTAGTAAGTCCGACAGGTTCGACAAAGTTTAAACAAGCAACTGCCCTCGAAAATTACCTCTAATCAGTTTTTAACTGAGGCAATAAATGGCTTATAAATTTTAATGCCTCCAAAAAGAAACTGCTATTTTAATCAACATAGACAACCATTTTTGCTTTCCTTCAGTATGGCTGATGCTAACCTCCAGAAGAGCAACTCATTGCTCGTTCTTGATCACACGTTTTCCACTGATATCGAATGATTATATTGGATCAATTGCAAAGCCTGTTGCGAAGAAAGTGGGGTCACTGTATCGTGCCAGATAAGTTTTCTCGACAGAATATATATTGCACATTTATAAATCTACCATTCGTCAGTGTATTGAATATTGCTACCATATCTCGTTTGGTGTTCCTGCTATATATCTTGAGATTCTCAACAAAATCCAAAGAAGGATTTGTAACGTTATCATTCCTGAACTGAGCTTTTCTCGCACTTCTCACTTGTGCAACTCTCTTCTAGTTTCTTGCTTACGTGCTACCCACGATCCTCAAAAAATTAAATGAGACGTCAATCGCCATCTTCTGTCTTCCTGAACCTTTTATTGTCCCTCACTAAAGTCTTCTCATTCTTTTTCCCTCTCAGTAACCCCTGGCGTCTTAGTGACATTGTTGATTGGGATGAAACGATTTAAAACAAAAAAGCTATCAAACATGCGACTTAAAAATTCTTAGATCAAAATTGTCCTTTAAATTAATTTTTACTTAATTAAGACAAATGGCATATTTTATGAATTTTGTTTTTTATATTTTATGAAAAATATCAAAGAGCATAATTCGTCAATGACGATATGAGAGCCTAACTAATCTATTTTAGAACTGAACCGATTGACTACCAACACAAGTGGTTTGATTATAGTGGCGAAGGGTTGTGTACGAACAGTTACACTTTTTGAAAAATGGTGCACGGTACGCCACGAAGACGCCAAACAGTTTTCTCATTTATGAATTCAGAGTTTTCCTTCTCCTCGACTGGTTGTCACCTAAGACAAAAGGGCCCAGTCTACTCTAGTATATAACTCATAGCTGGAGGAAGATGAAACCATGTCTTTTTGTAGTGGCATTGGCGCTAAGAGAACGAAACAGAAACGGTTAGAATTTGAACTCGGCCCGATGATTCCACTTTCCACACCGATAACTGTAACCGCACATCTAATTTGCAAATAAATATTAAATAATTGTAGAATGTCAGTAGTTCTCATAAGCCATTATAAGGGGTTTATTCTACTTCGCTATTTGCTTCATGGATATAGTAGTTTAATATTGGCTCAAAATAACTTTTAATATTTGTCTTTCTAGTTTTATCTTTAACAAGTCCTACCTACTTCCATCTCTGGCCGAAAAATGGTTAGCAAGCCACTGACAGAAAGTTTCTGAATCATTTCTAATTATAGCCTTCTATCAAACTATGTCAGCTTAATTTACTAAGCTTAATTCTTTATTAGAACTATTGGTTTCATGGTCTTCACTTGACAACGTTAATTTATGATTCATTTCAAGTTTATTATTTTAACAAAAATATTCTTCAGACGATTGACTCATCTGGTCTTGATGTTCAAACTAGCAAAATGCATCCAATTCTTTCTATTAGATTGTTTCCGTAATCTTATTTAAAATACCGATTTTCTTAGCTCAGCAATAATTGGTACAAGCCTATTCGGAAGATAGCAATCTAGATTGTGCAGTGCAGTGTATAGGATAAAAGCAGGGTCGGCTTAAGCTACTGGCAACTCGGGCGCCATCAAGGCCGAGGGCGCAATCATGCCCCTATGTCATGTCTTTCAAAACTAAAGTTTATAGAAACATACTTGTGGTCATCCATGACTCAAGGCAGATTAAATTCGTTGCCTATTTTGTCAATAGAAAATGATCTTGTAAAGAAATTAGGTGTAGAAAGCGCCATGAAAAGATTTACAGATCTAAAGGCTTGAAAGAAATCTTTTAGGTAAGATGAATGTTTTCATTAGACTGAATTAAGTTGTATATTGTAATAAACTCATTATTCTAAATTTTTCAGTTTTTCTCCTTGTGAAAATTTAAAAAATATACTTGTAAGGGCGCCAAAGTTCAGCTTGGCCGGGGTGCCAGCAACTCTAGGGCCCTCACTGGATAAAAGAGCGTTGTTGTAGTGACATTGTTCTACCTTTGACCTTATTTCAGACTAAAAATAAAAGGGATGTGTATTTTCGCAAAATCAGCTCTCAATTTCGATTAAATAAATAGATAAAATAGAATGTTGTGAAAGGAAACGTTCAAAATGTTGCTGAATAATAAGAAATTCTATTGCTAGAATTTTCTATTTGTTATTATATATAAAAATAAGAAAAAAAAATATGCAAATTATATATATATATATATATATATATATAACTGCTCTATTTTAAATATACTTTGAAAAGATCTTTTTAATGCACATAATATAACTTTTTTTTTTATTTGCCCATTAATAGCCTCTGCGATTTTCAAAATGGGCGTTTGTTTCTTTTGGCCGTTCGAGAGCTCTATAGATCTTCTTTACGTTTTACGATAGATAGATAGATAGATAGATATTTTATAAGAAACACGTTTTCAAGTAATTTTACTCAAATTTGACTAAATCTTCAACACTTCCATTACTGACGTTAGTGCGGCTTAAGCAACTAAGCAAAAATAGAAAATTAAACAGAAAAAATTATTCAACATATTATTTTATATTGTTTTCAAGAATTCTACCAATTATACTAATTTAGTTACATTGAAAGTTCTTTTCTATTTATTAGACTTAAGCATAAACAATTAGCTAACTTGAATATTAATTCTCGCGTGCCCCAAAATGATGGGGGGGGGGGAACAAGAAGCATCAGAAATGTTGTTCTACAGAAGGATACTGAAAATTCTATGAACGTTGTGAGTAAACAACAAATAATTTTTAATGAAAATAGCAACAGAAAGGACACATACCCAAAATCAGGAAAAGATAGCTGAAATTCATTGGTCACATAATGAGGAAAGAAGGCTTGGAAAAGATAACCCTAACGGGACATACTGAGGACAAGAAAGATAAGGAAAGGCAGCGAACCACTTATCAGACGATTTTGAGGGAATGGATGGCGGAACGGGGCGAGGGCCTTAGCGAAGGTAAGACAACTGCTAAAAGCCACACAAGATAGAATGTTGTAGAGGGCGATGGTCACCTATGTCCTGGAGAGACGCAGCTCATAGAAGAAGAATTCCTAAGTTTCTTATATTTAAATCGTTTATATTTATACAATAGGATGCTGAAAAGTTTTCGGCCTAACTGATGAAGAAGAGACTTGAAATAACAGAAATGTAGTTCTACAGAAGAATGCTGAGAATACTATGGACTGAACATATGAGTAACGATGAAGTTTTAGAGGAAATGAAAACAAAAAGAACACTTATACTTAACATCAGGAACAGGTAGTTGAAATTTCTAGAGTCAATAATGAGAAAAGTGGGCTTGAAAAAATTGATACTCACAGGACAGATTGAAGGCAAGATGGACAGATGAAAACAGTGCATAACTTACCTAGCGAACTTGAGTAAATGTTTTGCGGTGATAACAAAAGGAGAAAATTTCTTAAGAGCTACAAGAGACAGGAAATTGTGAAGAGCCATGTCCTGAATGGACACGGCACATAGAACAACCAAGGATCAAAATACTGACTTTGGGAAGTGGGTCAGACCGATAACTTTTATATATATAGATATATACACAAGATAGTAGACAAAAATAACTTTCTCATATCGAGAAAAAAAGATAATGAGTTTATTTCTTTTTGATAGATTAATGAAATGCACGAGGAGATAGAGAAAACACTGGGTAAATTTGCAGATGAACAGATTGATCGACTTATTGAACTTCCCCGAACTTTTGAGTAGCCCCTGATAATTCCAGGGATATCATTTGTGGAATTTAATAAACAAAAACATGAAATACGTTTTATCAACTTTAACCTTTTAGTAGTCATTGATTTTTATACCAAATGTGCGTCAATTTCGATTATTTTATTTCATCGATAATGTGGCATCTTTCGATCTCGAGGAACCTTAGATCTGCGCCTAAAGAGTTATACCTCAGCTGCTGATGGCGGCAGTGCAGCATCTGGTATGGCTGTACAGGATACTCGGGAGTGACAGTCTTGATTGCAACGAATGCATGTAAAGACGTTCTCCCCTGATGTTATTTCCTTTCTGTCAAGCACGCTTCTCCCCGGCGGCAAATCTTCGTTTCTCCTCTCCTTGCTCCAGCCCTCTGTGTAAATCGCGTCTCCAGCGTGAGCGATCGTTGACGATAATATACACGGAAAAAAACTAAAATACAATATGTGCTTAGACGTCATGTTAAAATACAATTTATGATTTATCAGTTTATACTAGCTTTTCTCAACCAGTGTTCACCGGAACCATAGGGTTCCGTAAGAGGTCGTTAGGGGTTCCGCGAGAAACAGTGATAAATAGGCTAATTCCTTTTGAGTAATTTTTCTTCAATTTTATATTCTTATTTTTGCTATGCACGTGCATAATACTGGAAAATACTTAGTTATTATAATAAAGGATTCAGTCTGTTATATTATTTAAAATTGTAATAATCAGAGAATGTATTTAGCAATGTCTCTATGGCGTCAGTGTGAAACCACTTTCACTGGTTACTGGACAGGACCTGTACCTGACAGATTTGTGCATCATTGAGTGACTCACTCGAATACAGGATGAGTGTCTATATATTGTTTACGCGAACTATGATAAAAATATAAAATAAATCGATATTAATAATAGTATATAATTTTATGCAGGGTAACCTGAGACAATAAAACAATTTCAAGGGTCCCACAAGAGTTAAAATTTTGTGAAACGCTGGTTTATACTGATTTTCGTCAAATTTTGCAACCATACCCGGGCGCTAAAAGGTTAATAATTATATCGTGAAATTATAATTAAGCTTGTGCTTGACGTAAGGTTTTGGTTTTATTCGTAGCTGCCCACTAACTTTAACTCTATTCTATACCCCATTTCACCCTACCATTTAGATTTAGTCGTTCTTTGTATTAATAAAGTGCTAAAGTATTGGCAGCGAGAGAAAAAAAAAGGAAAAATAAAGAAAATGATAGCCGCCAGTCAGGAATTAAGGTATATGTTACTAACAGACTGACTATTATACATATAATTTCCAATGAATTATCAATACTGCCAATGTTTCTTTTAATCATCTCATCAAAGTACTAAAATCCTCTAGGATGCAATTACAAAGAAATAGAGGACAATAAAAGAACAGTGTTCAAAGTCAGAAGATGACGATTGACATTACATTTACATCTTTGAATATCATAGAAAAGCGGGTAGGCAGAAGAGAGCACCACAAACAAAAATGCAAGAGAACAAACTGTTGGCATAGAACTTCTCTAAAACTGTTAAAAGAGAGAAGTTTATTTTTGGAGTCATTAAAATTACCATGTCATTTCTTGCCCCAATTAACAACAGATTAAAGGTCATTTTCGAGATCAGCAGCCAATTAAATTTGACTTTATCGAACCTATCAAACTTACCATTAAAACAGGAGTAAACAGTTATATCATCAGCATAGATACCGAGATGAGATCGGGATTGTTCCTGATTTTCATCAACTACTAAGCTTGATAGACACATTAACAGTTGAACTAAAGAAGCAAAAGCCATATTGATTGTCTGGAAGAAGATCCTGCATTCAGAGTCAATTAGAGCCTCTAGTACTTTTCCAAAGAGGGTTTGAAGACTAATAGGTCAATAGTTTGAAAGATTAAACAGTTCACCAGAATTCTTAAAAACAGGAACTGAAGGATTTCAAACAAGCTGGAAAGCAAAAGACAGCAAAGCATTTACTGTTCTATTATTTGTTTTTAAACATTTGTTTTGGGTTTTTTTTTGTTTTTTTTTTTTAGATATCCCTCATTGTATCAGCATTAGTTTTGAGAAGAAAAATCATCTGCAAAAATGTACCAAAAATGCAATGGTGAAACATTTAGAAATTGAAATAAAATATTATGCGAACACAAAAGAGATCTTTTGCAAAGCACTCTCAATGCATTAGTCATTCATCATATTAAGTCTTAGCATAATTTTCACCTAATAAATTACTTCCTCTTTTAATTAAAATCGCATTCTTTATGCCAAAAATGTATTGGAAGTGCAATGATGAAACTTTTACAGTAAATTTCCAACCAGGGTCATACGGTATATCTCCTTCCTATATAAGGGTGAATTCACCGATTTATTAGTCTGAAGAAGTTCTTTCTAGGAATGGAACACATTACATAGAATTTTTTTTCATTTTGTCATTCGATTACTATCAGTTTGAGATATATATATATATATATATATATATATATATATATATATATATATGTGCATGACAAAGTGGAAAGGATTTTCTTGTGACTCGTTTTGACTTAAGGATTTTGTCTGAAACAGTCAAAACCTGTCACAAGAAAACTTTTTACACTTTGTCATACATTTTCCCCCAATATTGTTCTCATATATATATATATATATATATATATATATATATATATATATATATATATATATATATATATATATATAGGGGATAGGATAAGGAACAAATGGGAAATGTAAATTCTGACAAAGTTTGCTTTTTATTAAATTTATTTGACATTTTTTATGCACTAAGAAATGAAATATTTCTGATGGCCCAAGTGGATGTATCCCTGATCGCTAAAATCTTAACTACCTCAAAGTTTAGGGCCAACCATTACATTTCCTACACATGATCCTCATCCTCTTACAGTCACACAATAATTTCATTCAGTACCCCTCTAACTTGAGTGGCTGTTGGTCCTTCTGTTGCATGAAACAAAAAACTTTATTGCTCCAAATTTGCAGTGTTCAGCCAAATATTAACTATTGCAAGATTTCACTCAAACTGAATATGACAGATTGAAAACAAAGAGTAATTGACAAATAGTCAGGAATTAAAACATACATTATGTGGATAAATTGTATGCAAAAAAAAAAAATAGTCAAATTTTCACCAATCGAACATCAACTTTACCTTAAGCCAAAATCCAGACCTTTTTCAAAAACAAAAATATTTGAAGCCCTCCATTGCAATAAATAACACAATTTAAAATGTTGCATATATAAATAATGATTATTCTTCAATTTATTTTTTTTTTTTTACATATGACAAATAAAAATTACAAAAAGATTACTTTATTAGTTTCTTCAATGCATTTTTTAGTTTTTTTATCTTAGATTTATTTTTTCTATTCAAATGCGATTTTTCTTTCTTGTTTTTGGCACTTTTTGTACTCATTTCTTCATTTTCTTTTTTGACCACCCATTTCTTTTTCTTCATCTTTTTCTTGTCAACATTTCCTTTGATCCTCTTAATTTCAGAAACTCTGTATTCAGGCTTTTCACCCTCAATTTTGATCTTCTTTTGAAAATCTTTCTTTGAGCCTTTCTTCCTTTTACCTGAAAAAGACCAGTTTCTTTTTGGGCTTCTTTGTTTTATCATGGAGGATTTTAATGAATTGATTTCTGCAGGGTTAACATCTTTCCGTTGCATAGAGATACCTTTTGAATTAAAATCATCTACAATCCTCATTGCAAAGATTTCTTCCCAGATTGAATCACGAGTGTTAACATGACGGAGTTTCAAATTAAGTCCTTGCAGTTCTTCATCATCACTCACAGAACTAAGAGAAATAAAATTTTCATTTGATTCACATGGATTCTTACGTTTCTCTGTTTTATTTTCATTTTGTGGGCAAAATTTGGAAATCCTTGCCACATCAGTCACTGCAGTTTGGTTTTGATTGAAATTTTTCTTTCTATATGAATTGTTTGACTGTTTTTTTACACGAATATTTTCACAGCCAAATTGTCTAGTTCTTTTATCACCTTTCTTGTCAATGATGAATTTGGCAACATGGTTGTTTAAATAAGGAAAATGAATTTCTGGAGGACTAACGGAAGAAATAAATTCTTTAAAGTAACCATTGGCTTTTTTTCTTTTCTGAAAGAAAAAAGAAAAATTCTTTAATTAAAAGTTCATTGAAATAAAAAAAAAAAAAAGGCTGTGACAAGTTCAATTTTTTTTTCTTTATTTAACTCCTCTATTTGATTTAAATTATCCGAGCGTTCACGAGGGGAGATAATTCAGTTTTGTATTAGTCCAAACGCCTTCCAAACAGGATACTCTAAATAATATGACAGTGTCACACTTAGTTTAATTAACATCAAAATGAATAGAATTCTCCTTTTATTTCTACACTAAAAATACTGACAAGAATAATGGATAGAGATACAAACTGGCATCATTAAATAATTATTGCAATTTATAACACAAAGACATAATACTGAACACAAAATTGTGGGACATCCCGATTTAAGAGAGTATTGTAGAAGCACAACATTTTATATGCTGTCACTATTACTAAATAAATCACCATGTGCAATATATACTGACAAGCAAAAAGTCATGGGATAACAGTATGTAAAGGTGATGGTTGGTGGCACCAGCCTAATTTGACATTATGAAAATGCTGAGGCCTATATCAGTTGGGTTCTAATATCTGGTGAGTCAGTGTGAACACCAGTGAGGCTGTGCAAGGCAACATCCCTTATTATGGTTTGAATGGGGCATGACAGAGTCTAATTTGTATACCAGGAATACATGATGGAAGGCATTATCATCCACTATGAACAGCACAATGGCCAACTACTGATGGAATCAATGTCATGCCAAGCTAGAGGCAATTAACTTATGACTTCTGGCACATCAATTTACATATTTATTATATAACAAATGAATATAAAAAAATATAACTATTGTAATGGTGTATTTAAACCTTAGTCCAGTATTCCATTTGCCTGTGTAGAAAGATGCTTCAGTGTAAACAAAATTGCATTTTTGTCTTTGAACTGAAAGAATACTTTCAGTAAAACCTAAGAAAATAAGATTTACATAGGTAGGCAACATGGTTATATATACATATATATATATATATATATATATATATATATTGTATAGCTGGCCACACGTATTCGAAGATACTCGTTTACTAGGGCGGCTAGCCATCCCTATTGCAGACGCTTGCTCAGGCGCATTTGTGTTTCTTCAACACCCACAGAGCCCACCTGTGGTTTATACTGCAATTATGCTGAGCAAACCTTACTTACAGTTTCTGGGAAAGAACGTGTTATCTAGTGTGATCAACAATTTGAACAAGGCCAGCACACTCAAGTCCTCGGCCATGATGACTTGTGACTTTGTGTTAGCACAGCTATCAACGGCCCCCAAAGGTTCTGTCTACTCAATTTCACTCACAAAGCTTGGGTCAACCCATGGTATGGTTTTCAGGCACTTTCCAAAGTTGTCGCACGCTGGGATTGACCCCTCCAGTCTGATAACATCAGGAAGTCTCCTGACAAATCAACCATGGTGAGATTCGAAGCAGGTCTCATGGCCACACGGCTACATACATACATACATGCTTTAAAAATCAGATCAGTTGAATCCACTACTTTGGTTTCAACCTTATAGTATCCTCAGGCGATTTTTATCAATAATCATCCCAATGTTTTATTTTTAAAAAACTAATGAACGCAACATTTTGAAAAAAAATAAACATACAATGTTGGGAGTGTTAGAAAGAGAAAGAGGAGGAGGATGTGAAGGAGAAGAAGGGAGTTATGAGAATATTACCAAATATTATTTTATCATTACCATTTACTTTTTTTTTTATTGCTTACAAACAAAATATGCAAAATGAGTATGTATTTGTAAAAAAGATTTTCCTTCCTTACTTCTTCCCCATGAAAAATTTTTCCTGGATTTTTCTCTTTTATTATAAGGAAAGCATGAAATCTGTCTTTAATATTGTATGTGTGGGGAAGAAGGAGTAGATACAGAAATAAATTAATAAACTTACCTTGAATCCAATAGCCACAGCTGACTTTTTTTTGAGCTTGGAACAAAGCAAAGTATCTAATCCATTGAGTAACATGGCTGGGCAACATCTGACTGCACTCAGTTCAGCCAAGTGCTTCACTATGATTGGTGGATGAGCCGATTTGCAAACTAGCACCAACGACAATTTGTCTTTCTCCAACATTCTTGTCACACAATTCGTTCCAATAACAAATTGAGATCTAATCAACAAAAAGGCATAAATTTATAAAAGCTAAATAAATAAATCCAGTTCTATCAATATTCAAAGATATCTATATTTCAAACCTTTAAGTATTTTAATAATCAAAATTGTCCATTACACCCAGAAATGAGAATCACAAATCCCATAACTGCAGCCATAGTAGCAGAAGTATGCCAAGGGAAGATAGCCTGTTGGGATACAACCATCTCCAGATTGGTTTGCATTCAAAATTTTCCTTCTCCTGGACTGATTGCTAACCAAGGCTATAGAAATGTCTATCCTGCAATTTTCCCATAGCTGGGAGAGAAGAGAGGGATTCATACATTTCCCAAGGGTATTTGCATGACAAGTGAATGTAACAAACTTGGCTCTCTAATTTTTTGAGCCACTATCCATTAAACCATCAGACATCTTTAACTTATACATCAGCCTAAAAGGTGAGATAAAGCAATTTTATATAAATTAAACATTAAAATTTCAAAAGGACTAATCTTATTAACAACAGAATCTTAGGTAATATAACTATATTTCAGATAATCTTACTCATTTGAATAATTCATGAAATAATGACAATACCAAAACCTGAGAGATTTTTTTTAATTATTTGATGCTTAATATTGACTGAAATACTAAATACATTATATTAAAACAAGAATCAATGTATCCAGCCATTTTAGGACAGAGTTTAATTCAATTTTGCTTAATAACTTTGCAATATTTTGGGGGGAAAGATTTAATATATTTCACCTGATTTTCACAGATTCAGGATTGGCTTCCTTTGTTTCCCCAGCATTCTTTTTCTTCTTCTTCTTGCCATCCTGTAAATTTGCATCATGCAAGGGTTGTAGAAGTCTGTAAGCAAAAATTATACATTATGCTTTTAGCATAGTTTGCTGAAGAACATACATGTAGAATATGATGAAACAAGAATATTTAATAGAGCAATGAAATTATATATATATATATATATATATATATATATATATATATAAGTAGATAGGTATCCTCAAATACAAAGTGGCCAGCTATATATATATATATATATATATATATATATATATATATATCTATCTATCTCCTGACATTGAGTGCTGGTGCTAATAATTTTTCTTTACCCCCACCCCAGTAAATAAAATGGACTGATCCACTATCTTTTACAGTACAGTTATATATATATATATATATATATATATATATATATATTATTATTAATAGAAATCTTATAAGTATAAGAAACTATACTCACTTGTAAAACCTTCAGTATTTTGATTAGCAAATAAACAAGCCAATACCAAAAGGAAAAAAAGGTATAACACTTAGGTGAAACCTTGGTAGGTTTGTCTGGCTCTCTAGGTTTAACTAGGTTTGTTCTACTCACTGTATTGAGCACTTTATTTAGTTATTTTGCATACTCACATCAGGGTTTTTTTCTTTGGGCCTTGGACTTGCATGCTGGATGATTATTTTTAGCTAACATACATGTTCTTAGTTCTTTCTTTTTTTATACCTTTTTTCCCCTTTGGTATTGGCTTATTTATTTGCAAATCAAAACACCGAAGGTTTTCCAAGCGAGTACAGTTTCTTATACTTATAAGATTTCTATTAATAATAATACAGCTCTAGGCTACCATATCGAGCACTTTTTTACCTTGGTAGGTTTATCTGGCTCTCTAGGTTTAACTAGATATATATATATATATATATATATATATATATATATATATATATATATATATATATATGTGTGTGTGTGTGTGTAACACTTAACATGGCTGAAAGTTGACTAAACCAAACCTGACTGCATCATCTTGAAATAATTGTACCATCTTTAGATTTTGATTTTTTTCATTCTAGCATTAACTTATTCAAATGTTATCCAAATTATGACAAGAAGATTTAAAATAGTAACTTCAACAATTGACCTAAAAAGGGTCAATTGTTGAAGTTACTATCCATTTTAATTACAAATCCCCTGAAGATGTTTTAATTATATATAATTACTTACTAAATGCTGCATTTGCTTGAAAATGGTTGAAGAACTCACCAGCTGTAATATTCTTTCAGAAGGTACAGCTATAGATTTTCACTTTTTTAATTATTAAAATTTATCGGCTTTCAATACAGACTTGATAATACAAAAATAGAAAAAAAATAACTCATTTTTCCTTAAAAATTAATTTTGTGTACTAGTAACGACAAAAATATGGCAAGTTCATTTATATAATATAGATCAGCACTTCTGCCTGAAACAGGATTCTGTGCACTCTGCCTTGAATTTTTAAAGTGTTGTTTCACTGACTCAGCCTAGGATTAGAGTGTAGTATCTGCAAAAGTCCCACACTGTATTTATATATATATATATATATATCTCAGAATTATAATTTATCCCTACAGTATTAATATATTTTTGTTTTTTCTCATCAATATTTCTTATGCTAAACATGTGATGTTACTGCAGAATATGTATTATACATAAATTTGACAACACATGCTTGATGGCAGCACATTTATCAAAAGATTCTTATACAAATACACTGTATATAAGAAAATTGATATTTTTTGTCTGTAACTTTTAATGTTGCTAGTGCAAGGAAGAAGGTTATGCCCAAAATGATCATCTCTGGAATCTTAAAGACAAAACAACCATAAGCAAAATCTGAGGATATTGTTGTATGGATGCACAAATGGGTAAATTATAACTAGATAAAATATAAAACTCTCACATGAAAACCTAATAATAGTAAAGATTTTACCCATACTGTCAAACATGACAGCTTATTTAATTAACTTCCTTCCTTCCTTAGGTGCCATGCCAGTTCAAAATTGACTTGGCAGAAGAATTCACAAAGCTGCCATTAATTTCTGCAATAGACTGGTTTCCAACCAAGGCTATAGGAGCCAGTCTGTTCTGCTATTTAACCCATAGCTGTGGGGAGAAAAGATGGATTCACATCTTCCCAAGTGTTTAAGTGAATGTAATGACCTCAACTGGAATTCAAACTCAGCTCTCCGATTTTTCATTCCAAGCTGCTATACATCACACCACTCATACATGAAAGTTTACAGCACCTGAGATTCACAAGCATTCATCAATCTAGGTACTGACCAGGCTCAATGTTACTTAACATCAATGTTCAGATGAGAGCCAGTGTTTTAACATGATATGGCCATAATTCATTTCATTAACTAGTATTGCATAAATTATAATCAGATTAATTATTAACTAGATTTTCTTTTTAGACATTTCTTAATAATATAAACTTTATTTTTAATGGCTACATGTTTCAACTGAGATCCCTGCTTTTTAATTTCTTAATCGGCGAAATTAACATCAACTGGAATAGTAGGACTTCTTGATTTAGGCCAATTGAAATTAATTTCACTTTTTAAGAAAATAAAAGACAGTGATGTCAATTCAAACACATGTACCCACTTAAAACAACATGTTCAGTAATAACTAATAATCAAACTCCGTGATGATGACTTACATTTATTTGCATGGGACACAAAAAAAAATTGCTCAAAATCTATATAACTGAACATTGGTTAAAATTAAAACTAGTAATATTTATACAAATAAGCTAAAATGATCTTAAACCTTGACAAAATCATTTACTAAAAGATCAAGTAAAATCTTAAAGTGTTTTTTAGGAAAAAAATGTTTACCGTTCAAGATACTCCAGAACTTCTTGCTGCTTTGTAACAGAAATGCTTGGCCTGAAAAATGAAATAATTCTGTATAAATTTACAGACATGATTAACTAACAAACACTACTTCATGTAATTTTAAAATTTGATTTGTTTAACAATTATATGAAATAACTATTTTCAAAATTTCAAATAAATTACCACTCTAGGTACTCTTTAGGATTTTAATATAATGGCTGACTACTCATTTCTAAATATGCCTGTCTGCTAGAGTGGCTAGCTAATCCCTGTAGCAGATAACTGCTCAGGCACATTTGTGTTTCTTCAATATTTACTTAGCCAACCTGTGGTTTATATGTAGATTTTAGTTACAGTTTCTAGAAAGAACACACAATCTGGTGTGATCAGTAGTTGGAATAAAGCCAGTATGCTCAATCAAACCTGTGATCATGTTGACTTGTGATTTTATGATCGTACAACCATCAATTAGTTCCCAATATATCACTCACAAAGCTTGGGTCAATGTTTGGTGTGATTTTTCAGACACATTCCAATGGTGCTACATGTCGAGATCATCTCCCTAGGTCAATATTATCAAGAAGTCATCTCCTTAACAAATCAACCAGGGTGAGATTCATGGTTGGAATGATAACATTCTAACCACTTAACCATATGCCCATTCACTCTTAGGATTAAATCTCACTTAACCTAAAATCTGAACAGAATAATGTATAAAGGAAAAGTTTACAAAATACACTAAAATCAAAATATAATGGCTTAGAATATCATTCACTATCCATCTAAATAACATGGATTTTCCTCTAAAGAAGTGATCACAATTTTAGAGATAATGAAAACCAAACCATAAAAATATAAATCTGGTTATGACATTAAAAAAAAAAAAAAAAAAAAAAATACCATATGTAGCTATTGTGACTAATCCAATGAGATTTATATAATAAATTCACAAAAAGAAGATAAAATTTTAGAGAAAGTTATGCAACTAAATTATGATGACATGTAATTATAATTAGACATATATTTTATACCAAGAATTGTTCCATGGAATCAATAGTAAAGTCAAGAGTTTATTTCTAAAAGCAGAAAAATTTAAAGCAAGAAGTTATGTGTTAAGCCACCATTTTAGATACTAACAAATACAAAACAGAATTTTAGTAATTAACAAATTTTCTACAAGAATTTTGCTAAATTAAAATTTCTAATACTAAAAAGAAATAAAAAAATGCAAATAAATTCTATTCCAAATTTCTCAACAAACCAACATTTCTGTAAATGTCTTCTGGGTAATGCCACTCATACAGACTTCTTGCATTTTTTCAGTGAGGGGAGGGGGTTACTAAAAAAAATACACAAACCTATCACAATATTTAATTACATGATTAATTTGTCTCAATAGTTTTTTTAAATATCTTTTTTCTACTTTAGGATTTTAAAATACCCCAAAAAAGTTTTAAGTGCTAATCAATTTCTGCATAAACACTGAATTATCGCCCTTATATTCCCCAAAGATTTCTTTACCTTCACCCATATTTTGAGTCCTTTGGATTTAAAAAAGTCAGCAGAATTTAATGTATCTGCAAAACAGCATTTGAAAAGGATGGATTTTTTGTTAACACCACTATTACTGTATGCAACAAAGATTCATCCTCAGCAATGTTTATTTACACAATTGTAAAAATATGTAAACCAAATGTTATATTTATCATTTGCATTTTATAATTAAATAAATTTGAAAAGAAATCTTTTACAGGTTTTTTTTAACGGTATTCATTTACAGTTTTCAACTACTAATTTCACGCACCTTTTTTTTTTTTTTTTTTTTACTTTCATTGTCAGTCTTTTTTGCTTGAAAACAATAACTATTTTGCTGAATAATCGACTATGGACAATTTTGAACTGCCCAATTTGTGAAAGAAACATGGAGATCTCCTTGGAACCTATGCTGGAAGAGCAAAAAAGGAGATTTCGGACTTCCACGGTGTCAGCAGAAGGATGGTGGAAAAGGTCAGAAAGAAGCTGGAAGATTCAGGATTTGACCATGAGGCAACAACAGAGAGGAAAACCCATGATCAATGATCTGATGCTGGAGTTCATTGCTCAAGTCCAGGAGATCATCAACAATGATCCCTACAAGTCAATGTGTGCCATTGCAAGGGAGAAAAGTATGAATATAAAGCTGCTCAAACTGGTGGTGCCTGAGGACATTCACTACTTTTCATACAAGATGAGGAAGGGACAATTTCTGTCCAAAGCAATGCTGGAAAAGCACACCAAGAAACTGATCAACAAGTTGAAACAACCACTGGAGCTAGACATGCTGTGTTTCTTCTCCAATGAAGAGAAGTTAGCCAAGACCCTAAGATCAACTCCCAGAACAACAGGTGGCTTGCTGTCTCACTCAATGATCTTCATATAGTCATGCAGACAAAGTTTCCAGTAGTGAAGGTGACATCATGCAATCCCACTTCTTCCTTGAGGGCCTTAGGCTGAACACCCATTGGGTACATCTATGTTCAGAGAGAAGTGGTGAAACCCTGGATCAATCAGGTAGATGCAGGGAGGCTATACATGTAGCAACAAAACTTGACACTCTGCTATACCAGCCAGAAGACCCAGACCTGGTTGTCAAAGAACTTCTTCAACCACAATGCACCTGAGATTTGGCCTCCCAACTCACCTGACTGCAACCCTCTCAACTTCTTTGTGTGGGGCATGGTGAAATAAGTGACCAACAGATCAAGCTGCAACATAAAGGACAAGCTGAGTTCCAGGACCACCAGGGCTTTCAAGGAGACAGTGATGAAGGCCTGTGGGTGGTTACAAGGCTGTCATTGAAGCCAAAGGCAGAGTAATTGAATGAGATTGATAGAACATGTCATGAAGACATTTGGCGAATATGTCTCACAAAAGCAAAAAAAAGTGTCATTTTTTTTCCAGACAGTAATCTTGCGAACAAATACCATTCACACTCTATTCAAACATTTATAAAATCTACAAATTATCAAAATATATGAACCAAGTACAATGCAATATTTATTATTTTATAAATAAATATGAAAACAATTTTTTAATTTTATGGAATATCAAAATTGAAAATTACAGACTAAAATTCTGAATCATATCCCATTCCAATGATTAATGAGGACTGCTTTAATATTAACAATCCAAGGAATCAACCCATTTCAGAGACCTAAAATTTATTAAAACTTTTCACTATTCATGCTGCTAACTTACTAACACATTAATTAGAAAAGCTTTTAATTTATTTTATGTATAAAATATATTACACTATAGCCTTAAAAAAAAAATTATGAATTTTTACAAGTGCTTTTCATTTTAATTAGAATTTATAAACTTTTAAATAATAATTTAAATCTGTAAATAATATAACTTATAAATCTTTAAAATTTTGTATTAATTTGTAGCAGTCAAGTGATATTTTTATTAAATTAAGACTGTATTTACTAATCATAAGTGGAAAAGCTCACTACAATTCAACAGCCCCACCCACCCAATATCTAAAAAATAATTTTGATTTATTTTATGTGTATAAACGTAGGTACCCCTACTAATTTGGTATACCTAATGTTTAAATGAATTTTCATAAATGAAAAATTTTTCTTGAAGCTTTTATTTCAGCTCTCATTGAAAGCTAAAGGATTAAATTTACTATTCCCAGTAAGAAAAATACTCTGTAGCATATTTCAAAGATAAATTCTATTGGTTGGAGTCAATTCAATTTTTGGGCTAAAAATAATTGATTAGTATCCTTTTTTAGCCATCTGTCATTGGAATGAATTTTTCTTTATTAGAAAATCTTCCAAAAATAAAATATACTTTTCTAAAACTTTATTTGTGGAATATTAGCTGATTTAAAGTATAATTAATCTCATTTGAAACAAATATTATTTACTTTAAGTTGAAAATAACAGAGAAATGTTTTTTTAAAACAAACAGTAGCGGCAACTGTTTGTCAACACCTCATAAATCACTTGTGATTTATGAGGTGTTGACACTTATTATTGTTCTACGAAGACCTTATTTATCAAGACATAATTTCAGAAAATGACAGATGAGTGCTTTTTTTTTTAATATAGTTTTTAAGTACTCAGTAATCTTAAAAATGTTGAAAATATTCTCAGTAATCTAATTTTAAGAATGTTGATTTTAAATTTATTGATTGATCTTATCTTCTGATGTCGTATGGTCAGCCATACTTTCAAAATCAGCACATTTATACAAATAATAAAAAAAAGTAAGTGTTATGATTTGTATTAAGCTTTTCAATTTTCACTTAGTAAATATAGTCTTCACTTAATAACCTAAAGAATACAAAGTTTTGGAAGAATTTTAAAAACATTTTAAAACTATCAGTCAGAATTTAAGCTAGGTCCTGTGAAGACTCTTGATTGGCCCTTCATCACAATAGGTAGGAAGGAGTACATGTGATAGGCAACAACAAACTACAGAACTACATTGAAATCAAAATTGATTGCTGCATTAAGTATTGCATTAATATTTAAGTTTACCTTTTAAAAGTTCAATGACAATTCTTCAGCTGCAACTTAATTTAAAGATAATTTGATGTACATAGATCCTTACTTTCCACACAAACTATTTTTATTTCATTGGTCACTTTCACTGGATTTCAGTATTAATTTCAATTATCCCCAAATTTGTTTCCAAGTTATAAAGTTATGAATATTATTGTGCAAAAAAAAAAAACCCACTGAAAACAGTTGCAGTAATGAAAACTCAGGAATCCCAAATTTCATGATTGCAGGTCCAGATCCAAGCTTTTTAATTTACTCACGGAGTCAACCGGATTCCAAAATAGTATGACATGTTGGGCTATGGCTTCTAGGAGAGAAGTTGGAAAAGTGTAACACAGTGACACACTGACATTGGCATTTATTCTATAGAAAGGAGATGAGCTATTGAGAGTTGTGTCCTTTTAATTGAAAAAGTGTGACACACTGTCATTTCTTATAGTTTATAATTAAAAAACAAAAAAAAATTCTTTTAAAAATTCATTATTTCATTGAAAACTTTATCTTCAGACTATAATAATAAATAATATATATTAATATTATTTATAAAAGCATTTAAAAGCTTATTTAATTAAATAATCAGATAATTTTATTGCAGTTTTCAATTTACAATTTGGAGTAGATTTTAAGAAAAGTAGCAATAGTTTGAAAAGAAAAAAAATTTATTTACTTTCTCCAATTAGCCCTGCTTTTAACTAATAAAACTAGAATTTAATTTCTAGAAATTTCATGAAGTGGAAAATAACAGATGTAAATATATTTTTACCAAGATTTTCTAAAAAAAAAAACAAAAAAAAAACTGACGTTTCAAAAATAATTTAATTCATTTGTGAATAAGTCCTGAAAATTTCATTAAAATCCAACAATTATTTGATTTTTACCAGACTTTGAAAATTAATGTTATTTTACCAGAAAACAGGTGTGAAAATTTCCATTACCAGTTCTGTTACACTGATGTATTTAAAAAAAAAAAAAAAAAAAATTTTGAACGTATTTTCTAACGTATTTTTTAATACGTTCAAAATCTTTTTTTTTTAGTAAAAAAAATTTTTTAAATACTTTGGTCTTCCCTCTTAATAATAACATTTTGAATTTGATGATAAAGCTTTGTTTTTACTAAGTTTGGGGCCTTTTTTCATCATGATGCTTTTTTTTTTCAGTAAATAAATTAGTGGAGGTAAAACGTGTCAGTTTTACTTTTATTAAATACGGATGTCCAAATGAAATCATCAGAAAATAAGAGCAATATTGGTAATTTTCTAACATTTCCTCAGCACAAGTACCTAAAATTCAATAAAATATTAGATTGCTTAGAATATTTTCTTAAATTTTCAAGATTACTGGGTTGTTAATAAAATTGTATAAAAAGCATTCACATTATATTCGATAAATAATTGTTACTTAAAAAAAATCCTAAACATAAGTCTATCAGCAAAAACAAGAGTTGTCAACACCTCATAAAACACCCACCTCCGTATTAAAAAAATGATTTCCTGCGATAGTAAAAGTAATATTTGTTTCAAATCAGATTAATTAAAATTTAAATTAGCTAATCTTCTCCAAATAGTTTCAGAACAGTTTTTTTTTTTTTGAAGGATTTTTAACAGAATTACGTTGACAGATTTTTGTCAATATGGACGATTTTAGCGTTTTTAATGAAAAAAAAAAAACATCCCAATAATTTCTAGTTTGAAACACACGCACTACTGCAGCTGTTTGCTTATTGGAAATATTAAATTATAGTAGCTTGAATATGACTAAAAAATGCTTCAAGATTTTTCATTTTTAAAAGTGCATTTTAAAATTTTTAATTTATTGGTTTTCTTTGGCGGTACCACATAAATAAAGTTGGAATTTAAAATCATGCATCAGTAACTCAGAATGAGGTAATTCAGGGTTTGTTACACAGAAATTGTTTAAAAACCAACAATACCGTATGTATATGGATGTGTACTTTTTTTCTAAAGTGGTTTACTTTTTTTTCTTTTTCGTTTTTCTTTAACTCGTGGCTTTCCCACGTCGTGTGACCAGCATTGTTTTTTTTTAAATGATACTGCTATGGACTAAAATAAAACATTACTTTTTTTGTTTATTATTAATTATAAATGTCCTAATACATCACACGTAAAATACAAGAAATAACTCTAAAAGAAATGAGTTGCGTGTTATCAAGTTATTCCTACAAGAGGAAAAATCGTAAACCCACGTGTCTCTCTATTCATTCGTTTGTTAATTCTATTAAAGAAAAATATAAAAGACTACGCAAAATAAAAACCATCACATTAACAGACTCACCAAGTAGTTTTAAATGGGTTTTGTAAAACGGCTTTTACTGCTGCTTTCTTTTGTTTTTCAGCTTTTTCTCTTAAAGTTTTCTTCTTCGAATTCTGTGGCGTAGTTAACTTCGCCATCTTGTAAAGTTGACTCAGTACTTCCGGTTAATTCTTAAAACTTACTTCCGCTTTGAACTTCTGATCAGAAATTAATGTTACTTTAACTATTTCTTTTTAATCTTAAAATAAAGCTCAAATCACTCTGCATCACGAAAAGTTTTAAGAAACTGTCATCTTTAACAGATGAGGAAACAAAACTATCTAAACCACAAGATAACTAATTTTATTCTAATAATAAATCGCCCTATGTTGCATTCTGTTTTCATTTTTTTAGGGAGTTGGTAACCCTTCATTAATGAAACCCTATTTCGTTATTAAATAATGAAATAGGATTACCAACTCCCTAAAAAAATGAAAATAAAATGCAACATAGGGCGATAAAACTAGAGTTTCCCCAACAAGAGGTGTGCGGATCCTGTATATAAGTTCCCAACACAGGGTTTACAGACCCTCAAAGCTAAATCAAATTAGTTTGGTATTTTAACTGATAGGAATTGAAGAATAGAAACAGGGGGCAGGGTAATAAGAATTTGCATATGTTATAAAATAAAATAAAACATATCTTGGCTGATTTGCAGGCAAATAAACTAACATACTCAAGAGCGAGAGCCGGATGTGAACGAGACAAGGCTCCATCATAAAATGACCATTATCGTCGTTTATGATTAGGTCCGACACACGAGTTCTGGTCGAAAAATAAAATAATATTTGAAAGTGTTTCTATTTTTTGACCAATAAAAATGCTTTCCTCCTAATTATACTCGCGTCGTTTTTCGAGCCTGTTAAGCCATAAAAAAACGCCATAAAAGGGGTCACACGGTGAAGTACAACAGGAGGCCAGGGAAGAGACCTGTCATGGTCAGTCAGCAGGAGGAGCGCCACGCCAACCAGTGAGAACTACTATGAGAGATCAACCCAGATCGGAAGTTGGCTTATGAACTATACCACAAGGTAGCTGTCCCAAAACCACACATTCCTATTGAAATAAATCATGTAAATCTATTTCTGCTGTTGTCGTATTTCTTTCTTGCAACCATACACTTGTCTATAACACATGTATTCCAGATACTCATGTTTACTGAGTATATATTTTTAAAAAAGCCAAATTTAAGAGTAAACAAAACCACAACTGACTCACTCACAAACTCGACTCGAAGATTACTCTGTGAATACAAAGAACTTCAACTCGCAAGACTTTACTTATCCAAAGTGAAGTATTAACGCTCACTACAATTTAAGTAAATACTATTATTGAACATATTTCATACTTACATTTAAGGGTAGACTACTTCTGAATGACTCAATTCTAAAAACATAATAACGGTATTTTAAACACTAATTACAAATTCTTATAGACTGTAATACAAATACACCAAGACACCAAAAAACAAACAAAAATCTTCATTCACCAACAAACATACCAACACAATCTTGTAAAAATATTTTGTATATAATATTTGTATTGTATATAAATGCATTTGTTTGTTTGAATTACATATATGTTTTGCCTTGTTTTTTATCAAGTATTATTTATTGTTGTGGATGCAAGAGATGGTCACGCAACCTGACGAAAAAAATTCCTTCTGATATATTCTAACACCATAGCAAAAATCTTAGTTCATTCAGCGCATCCCTAACACCACCATTAAGTTCCAAAATAAATCAGACAACTTTTGTCCACAACATTAGCTTCTAAAAATCTCATATATGTCTTATATGTGATAAAAGTCTATAGCTCTCATTCCAAAAAATAAGTACAAACAGCAAAAAAAAAAAAATGCCTTATTTACAAGTAGACTTTTGTCCTCATCTAAATTGTTTTGGCTTTTGTGCACTCTGGCCATCACTTAGTGACATGAGGCTTAAGGTTTAAAATGAACAGTTGATTTACTCACACCAATAAGATTAATGAAGGATGATAATAACAAGAAAACACATTAGTGATTTTAACAAAACAAGATAATGAATTTATTTATGAATTTACACTTAAAGGTGTATCAGTAGCTCATTTCAGGAAAATAAAATTTTTAAAGTGTGTAGTTTTAATGAATTGCCATGAAGAAGAAATCTGATATAAAATAATATTAAAAAATGTTTAAAACAAATGTAAAAGAGTTCACTGTTCACAGAAGTGATATATAGTTGCATACATTCAAAAGTAGATGAAGAGAGTTGAAATATTTAGCTTTCTTGGATTGTTGAAAGAGAGTTCTTTGAAGTGCCATATGCTTGGTTAAAAGCTATTAATATAATTAACAAGTAATTTGACACTGATGAAAACTTCAATGCTGGACACATGAACAGAAACAAAACTTTTCACATATCTTCAGACACTCTTCTTAATTTCATTTTCAGTTTTTCATGTAGATGGTGATTTTCTTTCCTTTTTTCTTCTTAGCTCAATGGCTAATTTCTGTGGAGACAAGGTTTTCACTGGTCCAAAAGAAATTTCACATAAGATCACTAATTCATTTTCCTTTTCTTCTCAGCTCAACAGCTAATCTCTGTGAAAGCAAGGTTTTCATTGGTCCAAAGAAAATTTCACATAGGCTCACAAATTTGAAGGGAATGGGTAAAGGAAGTAATTATTATTTTGTACACACTACAATAAATTTGGCTAACCTACAGGGAATTTTGAACTGAACAATTTATTTAATCTACAGGATTGATTGTTCTCCAGTATCTGTCTATATTCCTGAGATGAGGTATTATGTACACTATTTACATTATTCGGACTATTGTCCTCATCTTTGTCGCCATATTTATTACAACGTTTCAGCCGTTGTACGCTCTGGTCTTCTTCAGGTGGTTTGAATGTCAAACTGAACCCTTTATTTCGCTCACTGGGGTAGACTGCTCTACTTCCACATGCCATGTCTAATGGATGTCAGTTATCTCCTGTTAATTCCCCTCTCCAAGTTCTCCACCACCTTAACCAGATATTGAACTCACACTCTTTAGGTCCTGTCACTGGATCTAACTAACACCTTTATCCACTGTGCCATGTGTCCTTGAGGGTTCAGTTCGACATTCCAACCACCTGAAGAAGGCTAGAGTGTACAACAGCCCAAACGTTGTAATAAATATGGCAACAAAGATGAGGACAATAGTCCGAATAATGTAAATAGTGTAGATTGTTCTCATTCTGCTGACCACATCTAGGGATATCCCATCTATTTCTTATTTAGTACTGCTCAGTTATTGCCAGTCCTGTTTCCACTGTGTCCAAGTACATACTAACTGGCCCAGAGATTGAACACAATTACTATGTCACAAAATTCACCAACAAACATGTCAAATCTCTTTTTGTAATATTCTTAAAGCTAGCTTTTTTTTCTTTTGTTCATGTTTTTACTTTCTTTTAGTGATTGCACTGGTCAATGGCAACACTAGTTCAAGCTGGGTGTTGGTCACGGACTGCTTCAATCCATACTATCTCTGCCAATGTTGCATTCTTGATCTCATAGCAGTAGAAAATCAAATGTCATTGAAGTCTTCCAGTGCTGGTGAAGCCATGTATTAAGGAAGGTGCTATATTAAGGAAAAAATATTTCACAACGAAAAAAACTAAAATGACAGATTCGTAGGATTAACCTTCAATTGGTTTATGTAGCTCTTGGTACAACAAAAATTAACCCTTCCTGCACCAATCCCTCTAGTGACAATGGGCCTTTTCTAAATTTCTTGAAGGCTGGGTTCAAAGTCTTGGAATTAGGAATTCTGGTTGGCAGCTGGCATGAATTTCAGAGACATTTAATATGGGATCTCAACCCAAAGTCATATAGCTTGTATGCACCTCAGCCCCAAATTGCTATTAATTTACACTACTTTCTCTCCTTCAATATTTTAGAAAGCGATGATTAGAATTTTGATAAAACCCAAACATATGAAAGTGAATTTATAGATGTTCTTTCTTCTTTGAAAATTTACAACAAAAATATTAAATACTATTTATTTATTAGTGTTTATTTAGAAGAAAAATCTTATATTTTCGACATTTTAAAAGTGTGCGCAAACTAATACAATGCAATGCTTATCATTCACCAAATTTCAAAGAAATAAAAATGGAAATTTTTTCTTTTTCATAAATCTATAAAAAATTACTAAATTATAAAAAAAATGTGAACCAACTATAATGAAATTTTTATTTAGCATTTTATAAATTTCAAATCATTTGGCAAATTGCCAATGTTTTGCCAACCATTCCAAAGAACACAATCTGTTGAAGATGTTTATAAATTTTTGAATAAGTTTTCTTTTCAAATTTATTTCTTTATAAAATGATAAATAACAAATCTTTATAAAATGGTAAATAATAAATATCACATTGTATTTGATTCACATATTTTTATAAGCTTGTAAATAAACATTGCAGAGGGAGTCTCAGTAGTTTAAAGTAATAGCAGTGTCAACAGAAAAACTGTCCTCTTGACAAACTGTTTTTTTTTTACCTATATTTTTATCATATATATGTACAAGGTGCAGTAGATAAATTGCCATCTAAATTATGCAAAAATGAAAATAACAGTGATATTTCATTGTAACTGATATACTTACCCAAATTACACAAAAATATATTTAAATACAAAGAGTAAATTTATTGAATAAAATCATCATTGGCTTCAACTACAGCTGCCAGACGACTTTGGAATTTCCTGTAACTCTTCTGGACAGTCTCTTTGTTTAAGTTGGTGAATGCTACCATAATCCATGCCTTTGTTTCATCTTTGGTGTTACAAGAAGTTTTGTTGGTCTCTCGCTAAACTGCACCTCACACAATAATCAAGGAGGTTGCAGTTTGGGGAGTTAGGTGACCAGATGTAAAGTGTGATGTGGTCACAGAAATTGTTTGACAATTGTGTGGCATGGTTTAGAGTCCTGTTGCCAGGCATAGAGTCTTCTAGCAGCCACCCTCTTGATCTAGGGCAGCACTACCTCCTCAAAGCACTTCCATGTTGAGTCTGAAGCCCTGTGGGAAGCTGAATAAAGGCATAACATCACCATCACTAGTTATCACT